TCACTACTTTGAGCGAAAAAAACCAAAAATTCCCTGCAGACAGACATCGTCTGCTGTGACCACTGGGACTGTAGATTTCAGATGAAATCTGATGCTACTCATAAACACCAGAAAAGTGGACAAGAAAGGCAAACATACCTCGATTTTTCGTTTTTCTTTGACACTATCGTCAAGTTTTGTTTCAAGCAACACAATCTTCTCCATCATCTTTGCCGTTTCATTCTTTTGTAGTTCCAAATCGCCTAAAATAAGCCGGAATTTAGAAAAAATCAAAAAAAAGTCAGTAAAAACCAAACACTGACATCGCGCGCGCTCGATGTGCCAGCCAAGTGCTTATCGACAAATGCATGGCGGTTGATAATGAAAGTATATTATGAAAAATAAAACTGAACAAAAAACCATTAAATACAGTCTACTGTATTTTTTGTTTAACTCGTCACATCTTTTTTTTTTTCCTTAAGGATGCAAAGAGGTCTAGATTGAAAGCGGTGTCTACACAGAGAGGCCCAACCTTAGGTCCAACGAGAGCGTGGATAAAGGCAAAATCTTGTTTGTTCTGTGACTACTATTAATTTACCGAGAAAGCACAGTTTTTCTTCAACCACACTGAATTCTCATTCCTCGTTAAGAAGCTGAAAGGAGCTAATCCATTACTAAGTAGCTGGCGTGACAATTTAAAAAAAAATTAAGTGAAAAAAGTGCGCCGAAATTAAATTCTGGTCGCAATTCCTCACTCACTGTTAATTAGGAAATCGAACATCTACCGACGGATGGGCCAGTCCCAACACACTGCAAAATTAACAAAGAAAAGACATGAAACGTGGCTAATTTAAGAAAAAAGCAGAATGTTGGGCGACAAGAAACCAACTTGCAGCAACTGATTTCTCATGAATCAAGCGATCTATTTTTGCTTCGAAGTCTTTTTTCTGATGCTCCAGCATTTCTGCCCTCCGTTCACATTCATTCTGAAATTATGCCCCTGCAGCACATATTAAAATAATGCTTCATGCAAGAAGACTCGCCAGAGCACAAAACTGCTAAAAATATCAACGACTCCGAGAATCTGGTCGAAAAAGATAGGCAGCAAAATAAAAGAACCGAGAAAATTTTTCTCTGAGCGAACTTCGAATGAAAATAACCTTTGTAAGCGCTATATTATCACGCTCTGTTTCGAGATCACGTAGCGCAGCCAGATGCTTGTTCCGCTCCCTCAGCAACACTTCATTTTCCTTTTTATGCATATTCGATTTCTCAGTAACTTTGGACAGCATCTGGGATGCTTCGTTCAGCTCCTCGTTCTTCAAGAACAGTGCTTGCTCTACAAATAATCGATGAATAGCCAGTTGTAGAGCGATGGGACGAATGATGGGAACTGAGTCACTCAAGAAGAGCACAAAGCCGAAAAAAAAAATCTTTCCAAATAATTAAACTTGAAAAAAAGTGAAGACCAAAAACCATGCAGAACAGCTGAGGCCGCCCAATGAAATGAAGTGAGGTCCTCAGTTAAGGAAGGGCTCAGCGATGCTACTCTTCAATACTGACCGAATAACGTACCTTCTTGCCGGAAGTTGCCGGAGCAGTCACTTTCCGCGCTAAGCCAACCTACAATCATCACGGAGCTGCTGAGACAACCTACAACCATCACGGGGCCTCCATAGATTCAACAGAATCACCGGCGTGTCATGCCCCGTGGTTCCCCATCCTCCTCAATTCACACAAAGATTTTTCGAGAACAGAAAGCATTGGTACTTCCAAGCAAAATATCAGCCTCCCTCAGGTGTTTATTCCAGTTCCGCTCCCTTCGTTATTACTCCCCGCGAACCAACCAGAATCCCCTTCTCTCTCCCCCACCCATTTCTACTCTGTCCCTCCCCCCTCCCCCGGCTTAATGTGAAGCTGAAATTCTAATTCAAACCTACCCATAATCCGAAACGGCATATCGTAAGAATCGGATTTTACTAAGTGCCAATTATAATCCCGTCCCTATCAATTACCTATTTAAAAAAACCATGCTGTACCGTCATAACTTTCAGACCAGTAAAGTGGAAAGGCAGGAACACTTTGCCGATTTGACATACCCAAAGTAATAGTGATGCTCTGAACTTCACGCCAACTAAAAGCTCTTCCACTGCTAATTCCCGCTGAAGAATTCGATGCATATTCACTTTATGATTAAAGTAGGCGCCTCAACTTCCTGCATGCTAATATCAGAAATCTGGTAGACGGGACATACCGGTACCACTTTCGTTTTCGATGCATCGATTTTCAAGCCAAATTCCCTTATTTTGTGGGTTACCCGCAAAGTATGAGTAGTTTGGTTACGTGTCATTATGTCGCCTAAGAATCACCTATGAAGTCCTTTTTTTCCATGAATGTAGTGTATATTTAACAGATATTTTCTGTCACTTACCCAACTGGGCTGTTTTCCTTCTCAGTTCAGCCGTGTCCGGGGTGACATATTCGCCAGCACTGTCTTCGGACAGAACATTTGCTGCAAGACAATGTCGATTCATTCACTTTCTCCTAATTAATCATGATTGTTGCAATGCAAAAACAGCCTAATCAAAGAGGGCTTGGAGTGCCAAAGAGAATTCCACGCTTTTTCCCATAAATTTCAGATGAATGATACACTAAACAGGCCGAGGGCACTAACTAGAAATATATAGCTCAATTCTGGAGGGCCAAAAAAAGCTGTGCCTGACAAACGGGAGCATGACACAGCTCCTTTAGTGCGCCACAACTGGTTATTTGTTAATCAAACTATCAGTCGGGGACAAATCTGGCACACGGGGTCCTGGTGTCCGGAAAAAAACTCTCTTCTCTGGGTGGTTCAGATCGACAGAGTTACGCGGGTCTATCAGAAGTACAGGACGGATTACCGCTGCTTCAGCAGCACAGGACAAGGGGCTACCAGTAGTGCAGTACGAGCTACCAGTAGGGCAAGATCGGCTCCTCTGGGGATCCTGCGACGACGACTGGCTTCCCCTCTCCAATTTCGTAAAAGTGATTGGAAAACGGGCGATAGGGGTCTGGAATCTCCGCGAACACAAAACATCAAACATGGACAAACCACAATACGTTTAGAAATAAAAGAAACAAAAAGACAACCACCGTAACAAGTATCTTGAGAATGTTATGTTATCAC